TGATAAACACATAAAAAGGAACATATAACATTTATAAGCAATAAACTCAAAAAAATTATGTATACATTTTATGTTTTAGGACATAGTCTAAATACAAAAAATCACTTAATTTTATACAATTCTTTAGTACATGTATACAATTAATAGTGAGTCATTCTATCATTTTTTACCAAATTTGATAAAAATTGAAAGCTGACCTTATTGGATTTTCTTAAAACTTTCAGGGTGTGAAGGCCAATGCAATGAACAAAAACCACAATATTTTTTTTTTATTTAAACACCCTGAGGAATTAGGCAGGGCCATGTTGACCGGTTTGCATAGAAAATTACCAAATCGGTGTCTAAGAAAACCCTTTATAACTAAGTTGTTTATTAATATTTTGTATCGCGTAATGTTTTGTTTTAATGCAGTTTTTTTAGTGCTAAATTTACGCTTCTTTTAACTGAAAATGTCAATTTTCTGCTATTGATATTATATAGTAGGCTATGAAAATTTGGTGTATATTTTTATTTAAAGTAATTATAAATATTAATAAAAATATAAAATGCGGAATTATACAAAAGTATCCAAATTGCAGGAAATACCATCATAATTATGAAAATTTCCCAAATGCATTTTTTCGTCCCGAGGGACTGAACGAAAATTCTTCAAAATTGAACAGAATGTTCTCCTCAAAATAAATTAAAAACTTCAACAACAAAAAATTTTGTGTATTTGCCTTGCTAGGAAGATACAACGGTTTAAAATACCACAAATTGTATAGAATATGAAATTATTTTCATGGTCTTTTTTATCAAGATGGCTTTGATAAAAAAAATGCAATTTAAAGGTGTTTGAAAAAGAAATATAAAATAGGTAAAATTAAGCTACATAAACATTAAATAATTATTTTATAATTATAATAAACAAAATAACGCATATAGTTGTCGCGGCGAATGTTTCAAATTGCGTCATCAAATTCTGAATCAAGCACAGACATTACAATTATTTTCTTCTTGAATTATATATAATCCAAGGAACCGCTAGGTTAACCGTATGCCGAGAAATCAGTTTTTGATATTCGACATTGATGACGCAATTTGAAACATTTACATAATAATTAATATAAAATAACACAAACAATATTTGTATTGTTATCTTAAGGTACAGAATGATGGATCGCCTATGTTATTTTTGTTACTGTTATATGATTGCAACCAATCAGATTCACTTATTTAATTTAACACAAGAACAATTTTGGTACTATGCCTAAGTGAATAATTATGTGTATTTTAGCAATAATTTTAACAGAGAACTTGAACAATGCTTTATATATTTACGTGTTACTTCATTTATAATACAAAACTATATTAAAGGTAACATTTATATTGTTTTTCTACATGGAATCTTAAATTTATCTATTAATCTATTAAGGTAGTTGTTAATTTAAATTTAATAACATTCCCTATAAGGTAACCCTAATAAAATTTAACATAATTAATAATTAATTATTGGTTTTTTAAAGCTCCAAATTTTGTTCTTTTTAATATTTTTTATTTATAATACGGTTTGATTCCGATGTACTTCGAACCTGAATAATTTGTAAATTTTAAGGCACAAATTAATGAAAACTTCTAGTATTTTTTAGTACAAGGATTAATTTTTGTTGTTCTATTATTTTAGGTTTTATATAAAAAAAAATGTATTCCTTTTATATTTTCATTGCAAAACATATCTAAAGGTAATAAAATTTAATCCTTATATGGTCTTTGCAGGCTTGCTTTTAAAACCAGTCTCTTAACGGTTCCCCCTATTCCATCACAAGGTCCTTTTCCGTGGGATGTGGCAAAAAAATGCCACTCTGCCTTTAAACCAGTCATTTTTGTTATATGCCAAATTAATAAAATTATATTTATTTTTATATTGTCCCCACATCCATAAGTAAAATACATTATTTTTTATTTGCGAAAAATTTAATTTTATGAAATTAAGTTCTTTAAGAAAAGTGTAAACAACTTGTTTGACATTATTAATCATTTTCATCTTTATAACACATAACAAAGGGATGTACAGTGGCCAGACTATTTACCCAGTGAAATATTTGTATTTCGTATTGTACAACGGAGGAGAAATTTTCAGCATGGGAAGCAAATAATTTTTTTAAGATGCATATTTTGCCTGATCTTTTGAAATATACTGATGCTTTTTTAAAGAATCTATGGCTGATAATATTTTGTCAATGAAATCAGAAACTGGTAAATTAAAGGTAAGTAAAATACTAAATATTAATACACATATTTTTTTAAATGATAGGGACACCCTGTTTGAAAATTATCATTTACTCTTAGTTTTAAAAGAGTTTGAACTAGGTTCTTCGATATTTTGTAATAAAATATCAAATTTCATCAGTTTTCGACACTTCTCATTTAGGAATTGTCCAACGGAACACATTTTAAAATATGTAAACATGTAAAAATGTCAACATGTCAACATGTAAATATTTTTTAAATTTTTAATTGTAAAAAATATAGTTTGACTTTTCTATCAAAGCCTTCTTAAACAAAAATCGTATATAAATTTAGTGCCATTTTCTATAAAATTTGTCGCATTTTAAACCGTTGTACCTTCTTAGGAAGGCAAATACACAATTTTTTTTTACAATTTTTAGTCTACATTGAGGATAACATAATGTTATTTCTGTTCAATTTTGAACAATTTTCGTTCAGTCCCTCTGGACGAAAAAATTGATTTTTTTTCGCCAAAATTTGGCGAAAAAAAATCAATTTTTATAATATGGAATATAATATGGAAATTTTTTATAATAAAAATGTTATTTCCTGAAATTTGGGTACTTTTTATAATTTTGTATTTTATATTTTAATCGATATTTATAAGTAGGTACTTTAATTAAAAATATACAACAAATCAAATTTCCATAGCCTACTACATAATATCAATGGTAGAAAAATCACTTTTCAGTTAAAATAAGCGTGAATTTAGCACTAAAAAAACTGCACTAAAAAATATTTGTATAATTTTAGGTATATATATTAAAAGTACATTGTTTTATGGTTAAAACAAAATATTAAGCGATAATAAATATTAATAAATAAAAAAGTTACAAAAGGATTTCTTGTAAACCGATTTGCAAATTACCATGGTAATATTTTATGCAAACCGGTCAACATGGCCTCGCCTAATTTCTCAGGGTGTTTAAATAAAAAAAATATTATTGTGATTTAAGTTTATCCCAAGCATTGATCTTCAAATCCTAAAACTTTCAGTTTAATCTGAGATGTCGAGCTTTTGTCATTAGGTGAAATTTCATGGAATGACTCTAGTAACTAACTAATATACTAACTAAAGTCTAGTTAGTATATTGGCTTGTATTATTACAACCCTTACAAAAAATTCAAAATACCATATTAAAGATAATGTACTTTAAAAACAAATTATACTTTACAACAACCCTGTATAAAAAAAACTAAATTGTTTACCATTAGAGAAATTGTTTTTTGTTATATTCATAATTGCATATTTACTATTGTTTTGTAATACTATTGTTATTTGTTAATTTTTATTGTTAATTTTATTGAGTTTATTTATAATACATTTTTACTGTGCTGTTTAAAATAATTATACTTTTAAAATCCACAATACAAATACTTAATTAAGTGAATAAAAATTTTAAATTGTTTATTAATGTCTTGAAATATAATTTTTAAATTGTGAATTGCTTTGTAGCAAATGTGTATAACTAATATTTTCAAAAAATAAAACTTTGTTTTTAAATTTATTTTTATTTATTTGATAACAACTTAAAACAACCCTTGCGGCCTTGAATTCACCGTGAATTTACCGTTTGCGTGAATTCACCGTGAATACACCGTTTATGTGCAGTGAATATACCGTCCATTTAACGTGCAGCAGGTACAAGCAAGAGATCTTTTGCTTTGAGTGGTTCTTAAATTAAAAGCATCAATTAAAAGCAAACCTTACTATGAACATTTTAGTTAATAAAATAATTGCACACAATAATCTGTTAATACGTTAACTATCTGAGTTTTCACGTTTATGGGACGTACAATAAATTGCTAAGTTAATAAAAATAAGAAATAGCGAACGCCTCCTAACGTTTCAATCCGCAAGCGTCGCACTGTGGTCTGGGGCTGGTTAACAAAAATAAAAAATAGCGAACATCGGCCTCTTAACCTGCTAAGCCGCAAGCAATGTATGGTGCTCGGGGCTGGCCAAAAGCCCAAATGTCAAAACAAAAACTATAGGAAAAAAGGCACTGTTACTTCTTAGGTACTCATAAAAAATAAACATATTTTATAATAATTATTGAAACCAAGGGATATCTATGTGTGTATGTTACTTAATATTATTAAATTAATAACATGTTTTTTAAAAATGTTTTGATATTTATATTTTTAAATTTATATTAAAACCCTATAAAATAATAACATTTAAGTTACTAAGGATAAGTTTTACGGTGCCACTCGGTCCAAGCTAAAATTTTCGACAAGTAGTTTTTGCATTTATTTAATTTTGACAACGCTGTTATTCTATACGCTGAAATATTCCATATTCCACAAAAGTTATAATGAAACCATGGAAAAAACATTTGAATTGTCATTATAAATATATTGTTGTTTATATAGGTAATTTAAAAAAAAAGCTCAAAAACTACTCGTCGGCAATTTTTGGTACTTCTTACCTTATATTTATTGCATACATATTTGCAATAATTAACCTTAAAAATAATACAAAATTTGCAGTAAACTATTTAAGATGCAGTTTGTATTTATTTAAATTGTTATTGACTTTTAAAATTGACCTGAGATGTAAATTTATTTTGCCTAAATAATTTAGGCTGAATTTAAAAATATTTAATCTACCTTAACTATGTTAATTAAAATTAAAATGTAGGTATAAATACCACAATAAATAACTCTTACTTCTAGAACATTTAATCAATAAATAAATAAATAAATCGCTTAAGACATAAACAAAAAACATGAATAGAAATTTGCAATCCGAATATGCTGATATTGAACCTCAACCATTCAATAGGTCTTACGCATGGCCAAGAAGACAAATAATTAATCCGGAAGAGGCTGAAAGTAGTGGTAGTTCTAGCGAAATTCCACTGGAAGAAAAAAATAACTATTGCCATAGAAATCCGTGGGGAAGTTTAAGCTATGCAGATTTGATTACAAGAGCAATCGAAAGTAGTCCTTCTAAGAGGCTAACATTAGCACAAATCTACGACTGGATGGTAAATAATATTTTATATTTTAAAGAAAAAAGTGACAGTGTCAATTCCATCGGTTGGAAAAATTCAATTAGACATAATTTGTCATTGCATACAAGATTTATCAAAGTGCAGAACCAGGAAAGGGGTAAATCTTCTTGGTGGATGTTGAATTCCGAAGCACCTGGTAAAAATGTTCGAAGGAGGTCCAATTCTCTAAGCATAAATACTGAAGTTAAGAAGAAGGGAAAACTAAGAAAGACATTTTCAATGATAAAAAAGTTGTTACCCGGAATACCTGATGGCCCTAGTGTTTCAAAAAAGCTTGATTTGCTACAAGAAACGGATTATGATTATTTTAGACCCAGGTCTAATTCAAATTGTTCCACAGAACAATTAGCAGGTTATCTCCAGCAAACCGCCAAAATATCTCAGGTGTCAAATCAAAGATTAAATATTGACATGAGATGCAATCAAAATCAACAAAATGTATGGAACCCACATTTAATACACCAAGTAACACAACATGCACCACTGAGCTACACATGCTGTCCTACTAATGAACAGGTTCAATTTGGTCAGTATATGAATGGAACTCCAGCAAACTACAGACATTCAATATCCTTTCCATTAGAAAATTCCCAGCCCTACAATAATAACAATTTATACATCCATACTGTTACGCCACCACAAACAAGTCCATCTTCAGGTACTGATTCTTTAATAACCTTAAATCGAAATTTCAGCTATACCGAAGAAAATTACTTGTCAAATTTATCATCTGCTGTACGAACATGCGAATCTCCTGCAGAAAGCCAGAATAAAATTAAGTCAAGTACTTCCCTGGATGCTTTAGATGTTCCAGATAACCTTAATTGCAACGTTGAAGAAGTTTTAAACTACGAGTTAAATACTGGAGACGGTTTAGATTATAATTTTACTAATGAACTTGGAAGTTATGTATCTTATTCTGTGCATTTGTAAAATAACATAAAATTTATTGTGTACATATTGTAAATATTTAATAAAAATATTTTTGGTGAGATCATTTATTATTATTTTTTATTTCACAATTCCCAATGGACGTTTCGTTTATATATAATAAGGTGACATTTTCTATCCAAAAATAATAGTTTTTTATGGACATATTATACATCATTCGAAAGGTAATACATTAAAACATTTAAACAATTTGCACGCAAAGTGTATAGTAAAAAAAATCATGATGAACTTAACAAGTCTTCCAAATTCGCGAATAAAATTTTATTTTATACTGTTGTTCTGAAGTTCCATATGGCTTTTTTGGAAAAACTATCACTTTGTGGCATGTACCAATGTATGGGCTAACTACTAAAAAAAGAATCGTTTAATTGACTTTAATTCTTATCGAGAAATTTAAAAAAATGTAAACCTGGACACGATTTTTTACCAAAATCACAAAAAATCAAATAACTCCAAAACTAATAACTTTTGGATAAGGCAATATGGGGTTCAAACGACTTAAAATAATCTGTATAATCACCTCCTTAAATTAATGCACCTACTTCTGACTCATATAAATGGTGTTTTATTTTAGAGGCGGAGAACTTTAAATTGAAATAAAACACAACAAAATGTTTTTAATATTCATGAAATTGTCTTTGAAAGATAATTTTTTGGCATTATTGTTTGAATATTATTTCGGGCATGTGGCCGCCGAGGCTAGCGCGTGTATGCGCAATCTGGAGGTCAAATTTTCACACACAGGCTGTATTTTGGCAATAACGCGTCCAATGTTGGATTTAAAGTGTTTCTGGTATATCGGCGTAGATATCCGACTTTACATCTCCCCAAAGAAAATAATCCAATGGCGTCAAATCCTTTAACAAGTCTAATTGTTGAGCACGATGACGAATTGTCAGATTTGGATCTTCATCAACAAACCGGCAATGGCAATGGCTTGCGTATTATCGTTTAGAGTAAAGGAATTGCAAAAACTATTCAAAGTGTCTTGAATTAATCGCTCGAAGGACGATTATGAGCACCATAAAACTCACGTGTTTCCTCAATTTAACCGTGTATTTCAAAATTAAGTTAAGCAAACGTTGTTCCGGCATGAGTATATTCATGATGAATACTAACCAAACCAACACAACTTTAAAACAACCGAGAACTGTGAAATCGGATGTCACAGTGTTGACAATTTAAAGTTCTCCACCTTTAAAAAAACCCTTTATATAAATATACAGGGTGGAACGAAAGTATCAAATAATTACTTTAACTTTATTATTTTCAAAGTTAATAAAAAGTTCATTACCAAGTTTTATAGTTGGTTAATATTTTTTTTTATTTTGTTTCTATGGCAACCAATTTTTTTATATGGCACACCTACTTTTTTGTTTATTATGAAAAAAGTATATTTTTCTCTATTTGGTAATAAAATTTAGCAATTCTTGAAAAAAAATAAGCTAGAAAAAATATGTATTACGATTAATCACAAATACCTAATTGATTAATTTCCCAACACTAAAATTTAGATAAAATTAAGTATTTAAAGAGGGACAAAGGTAAGCTAAATACAAAAAAACATTACTAAATCAAATATTCAAATTAAGCTCCGTTGACTGCCAAGCAATGACCTAAACGGTATTTAAATTCTACTGTAGAAGTTCTCTGAAACACCTCTGCAGGTATTCTGCGCATTTTAAAAGTTATTCGCACCTTTAGGTCCTCCAAATTACGTGGTTTTTGTTTAAACACACTATTTTTTAACATGACCCTACAGGAAAAAATCTAAGGGCGTCAAATCCAGTGATCTGGCCAGTTAACTTTTTTAAAATTTATTTTATTTGAGATGGGGTTGGTTATTATGGGTGTGATGTTATCAAGGATACTAACGAGGGTTGGAAAGTGATCGCTGAATCCAACATCAGTTATGATTTACCATTTGGACTTAAGTGCTATATGAGCTAAACTGAGAGATATATCCACTGGGTTAGCCTGGGTACTCGGGTTCCGAAATCTAGTATCACTCCTATCATTCAAAACACACCAATTATGTTCCTCTATTAGTTCTGCAATTATTTTGCCGTTATAATTTGTCCCAGATCCACCGCAAAGGTTATGATGAGCGTTAAAATCTCCCATAATTAGTAAGGATCCTGTTAAATTGTTAATTGTATTATTTAGATCATTTTTCTTTACCTTTGTATTTGGAGGACAATATCATCCCATTATATTTAAATTTTTGATTTTGATTATAATGCTTTGGAAGTTGTGATTTGTGTTATTAGTTTGATTGATTACCTGATATTTTATGTTGTTTTTGATCTTGATAGCAACTCCACCATAGCCATCCATTCTATCTACCCTTATTATTTCATAGTCTAAAAAAGCATAAAAAAAATGTTTTCAATGGCCATTTTCCTTTTTATTTCTCTTTGTCCTATGAATTCTGGACATTTTTTGTTTGTTGACTTGTGGGCATTTTTGCAATAGTAGCATATTTTTTCGCAATGGATATTTTCCTCATGTTGTGTTGCACAATGTGGGCATTTTTTTTCCTTTGCAGTCTTTTAATGTTTAAAGTTTTATGTGGAGAAAATGTGGCATTTGTAATTTCCTCAATTGATATATTTGCATCAATACGTAAGGCTACTCCTTTACAGGATACCCTGTTGTAGGGAATGTATAGGTTGTACTTTTGTTTTAAGAGATCATTTTCAGTAAAGTTGTTTGCAGATATATAGTCTTTAAACATAATACTTACTCTATTCTTGCCCTTAGCATTAATTTTTTTAACTTCACTAATTTTAAGGTTATATATGTCCCTTGCCAAGGCCAGGTGATTTTATCTTCCTATGTTCAGTTCGTTTTTTGCTTCCATGCATACTTCAAACGGGCCAAAGTCATTGGGTTTGTTCTTCAAGGTGACTTTTTTATATAAGCGTCGGTTGCCATGCTTAAATTTTGGACTTACCGGCAATTTTATGAAAAGGCAGGTTTAAGATAGGTTTAGCAAACAGAGGATGTGTTAGTATTTACCTATTCGATGAATATATATACCAATTATAATAACTCTACTTCTTTTTATCGTTCAAAATCTTTCAGTGCATGTTGCCGTTACAGCAAATGCTTAATTATTATCAGAAATATTTTTATTTGATTTATAATTATAGGTTATGTCAGCGTTGCCAACATAAAAATAATACTATTTATATTCTGTAGCGAATAACCATATATTTAGACAAAATAAATAAAAATAAACGATAATATATAGTAAAGAAAATAAAAAATATTAAATAATAATAATATTTCTTTATGAAAGGCCTTGTATCTCATTCTGTGGAGGTATAACAGAAATACGACCCTCGAAACTTTCTTTCAAATCGTGTTACCACCACTAACAAATTTAGCAAAAATTACTGTTTTAACGGACCCGTTAAGTTACATCAAGGCCCCGATTGTCTTAAAATATATAATTTTATTAGTGGTAAAATGGATTTTTATTTTTTTGTCAGCCATTATTTTTTCAGACTATATTATTATTATATAATTAATTATTATTGAATCTTTATTTACTGCGATTGGCCAAAGAACAAAAAACCCTATCAAATTGTAGTTACATTTTGTTTTTGTGTGAGCTAAAAGGTGCAAGCAATGTGATAGGTACTTTTAAAATTTAATTTAATACAACTAAATTAAAATTTACCAACTAGTAGAACATCTTCCGTTACACGATTCCAAAACGTGAAACCTATTTACGTGTGGTTCAGCGAGTTAAATAAATTGACACGCCTAGGCGTGGGGGAGCTATTAGACCTCGACGATATTTGAATTATAAGGAAGAGATCTTTAATGCTGTTTATTTGCAGCCTGGCATAAGCACTAGGACAATTGCAATGCAATTTAAAACATTACAACCCACAGGTTGGCGAATGTTATGGTAAGACTTACTTCGTCCATTTAACGTGCAGCAGGTACAAGCAAGAGATCTTTTGCTTTGAGTGGTTCTTAAATTAAAAGCATCAATTAAAAGCAAACTTTACTTTAAACATTTTAGTTAATAAAATAATTGCAAACAATAGTCTGTTAATATGTTAACAATCTGAGTTTCCACGTTTTTGGGACGTACAATAAATTGCTTAGTTAATAAAAATAAGAAATAGCGAACGCCTCCTAACGTTTTAAGCCGCAAGCGTCGCACTGTGGTCTGGGGCTGGTTAACAAAAATAAAAAATAGCGAACATCGGCCTCTTAACCTGCTAAGCCGCAAGCAATGTATGGTGCTCGGGGCTGGCCAAAAGCCCAAATGTCAAAACAAAAACTATAGGAAAAAAGGCACTGTTACTTCTTAGGTACTCATAAAAAAATAAACATATTTTATAATAATTATTGAAACCAAGGGATATCTATGCGTGTATGTTACTTAATTTTATTAAATTAATAACATGTTTTCTAAAAATGTTTTGATATTTATATTTTTAAATTTATATTAAAACCCTATAAAATAATAACATTTAAGTTACTAAGGATAAGTTTTACGGTGCCACTCGGTCCAAGCTAAAATTTTCGACAAGTAGTTTTTGCATTTATTTAATTTTGACAACGCTGAAATATTCCATATTCCACAAAAGTTATAATGAAAACATAGAAAAACATTTGAATTGTCATTATAAATTTATTGTTATTTATATAGGTAATTTAAAAAAATCTTAAAGCTCAAAAACTACTCGTCGACAATTTTTGGTATTTCTTACCTTATATTTATTGCGTATGGCGTAACCTATTTTCGGAATACCCTATATACATATTCGCAATAATTGACATTAAAAATAATACAAAATTTGCAGTAAACTATTTAAGATGCAGTTTGTATTTATTTAAATTGTTATTGACTTTTAAAATTGACCTGAGATGTAAATTTATTTTGCCTAAATAATTTAGGCTGAATTAAAAAATATTTAATCTACCTTAATTAAAATTAAAATGTAGGTATAAATACCACAATAAATATCTCTTACTTCTAGAACATTTAATCACTAAATAAATAAATCGCTTAAGACATAAACAAAAAACATGAATACAAATTTGCAATCCGAATATGCTGATATTGAACCTCAACCATTCAATAGGTCTTACTCATGGCCAAGAAGACAAATAATTAATCCTGAAGAGGCTGAAAGTAGTGGTAGTTCTAGCGAAATTCCACTGGAAGAAAAAAATAACTTTTGCCATAGAAATCCGTGGGGAAGTTTCAGCTATGCAGATTTGATTACAAGAGCAATCGAAAGTAGTCCTTTTAAGAGGCTAACATTAGCACAAATCTACGACTGGATGGTAAATAATATTTTATATTTTAAAGAAAATAGTGACAGTGTCAATTGCATCGGTTGGAACAAGATTTATCAAAGTGCAGAACCAGGAAAGGGGTAAATATTTTTTGTGGATGTTGAATTCCGAAGCACCTGGTAAGAATGTTCGAAGGAGATCCAATTCTCTAAGCATAAATACTGAAGTTAAGAAGAAGGGAAAACTAAGAAAGACATTTTTAATTATAAAAAAGTTGTTACCCGGAATACCTGATGGCCCTAGGGTTTCAAAAAAACTTGATTTGCTACAAGAAACGGATTATGTTTATTTTAGACCCAGGTCTAATTCAAATTGTTCCACAGAACAATTAGCAGGTTATCTCCTGCAAACTGCCAAAATATCGACATGAGATGCAATTAAAATCAACAAAATGTATGGAACCCACATTTAACACACCAAGCAACACAACATGCACCACTGAGCTACACATGCTGTCCTACTAATGAACAGGTTCAATTTGGTCAGTATATGAATGGAACTCCACCAAACTACAGACATTCAATATCCTTTCCATTAGAAAATTCCCAGCCCTACAATAATATTAACAATTTATACTGTCACGCCACCACAAACAAGTCCATCTTCAGGTACTGATTCTTTAATAACCTTAAATCGAAATTTCAGCTATACCGAAGAAAATTACTTGTCAAATTTATCATCTGCTGTACGAACATGCGAATCTCCTGCAGAAAGCCAGAATAAAATTAAGTCAAGTGTTCCCTGGATGCTTTAGATTTTCCCGATAACCTTAATTGCAACGTTGAAGAAGTTTTAAACTACGAGTTAAATACTGGAGACAGTTTAGATTTTAATTTTACTAATTAACATGGAAGTTATGTATCTTATTCTGTGCATTGGTAAAATAAGATTTATTGTAACGTTTTTAACTGTTCGTAGTGTGAATTAAAACACGCACTGGTTATTTAACGAACTAAACTATTTATTTAATAACTTAACTCCACTTAAAACACTATAAAACTAACTAAACACTTAACTACTAATTATTTATATCACTACTAGTTTATTTGCACTTATATTTATTTATTTCTTCGCGAGTACCAAAGCTCAACTGACTCTCCATGATGCGTCGTTCCTTATATATTCAGCGCCTACGTCTTCTGGAACATTCTAGCGAGCCCCACACTCTCGATTATTCGAGCGCTGAGTCACCGGCGATGACTCACCGGCGATGACTCATCGGCGATGAGTCATCACTCCGATATCCAGAGCGGTACTCGCTACATTGCCCCCGCCTTAAAACATTTTCAACCCGAAAACGGTCCTTAGCTCCATGGCGATATTTGCATAGAGATCCAAACTTGCATTGTGACGTCTTATAGAAGTAGCAGTCTACGGTCTTCCTTCCGGTTGTTCTTTTAGGGTTGTGGCAACAGACAAGAATGTGTATGCCACTAAATCTGAAGATAACTTCCACCATACTTCTAATTATTCTCCAGTCTAAACCCTCAAGTCCACAAGCAATCTTCGGTATCGCCAGGTTCATGATGTCCTTGGATAAAAGGGCATCTCTCAATTTATTTAAGGCATTCCATACGTCACGGTAGTTTGGCTTCTGATGGGAGAGCTGCTTCGTTACCAGATAGAAGATACTTCTATTGCCTATCTGCTCATTATCCACAATTTCAAGCACCTCTCCAACTTTGGGATTCTGCCTCCGTAGCTCATCAACCCGTCCAAACTTGTTTTTAAAGACAACCGCTAGTCCCCTGGACATCCTAAGGTCTTCCGCAACACAGTGAGCCAAGGAGTAATCGGCCGAAACCGTGAACAGATCTTTTTGTTCTTCTCGAGTGACACCATACCGAGCTTTTTTACCGCTCGAATATAAATACATGAAATCTTTAAAAGGCAACTCGTCTTCCGGCGGATTAACCCTCCTTACTCTAGCATCTTCTATTTGAGCATTGTTTCCAGCGTTAGGAGCCAATCGGTTAAAATTGATCACTTTCGGCTTTCCCCTTGGTTGTTTCCTGATCCTGTAGGTGATGTCATTTATTCGATCCATGACTTCGTATGGTCCCTCCCAAGAAGTCTGCAGCTTCGGTGAATAATCTTGACGGCGCTGAGGGTTGTATAACCAAACTAGGTATCCAGGTTGAAATCCTCCATTTTCCGCCTTGATGTCGTATGCCTCTTTCATTCTACCACTGGCACTCTGGATGTTTAACTTGGTTATGAATGTCGTTCATTTTCCTACGTAAATTGCTGACATAATCTTCTCCAGCAATATCTTCCCCTGGTAGGCAACCAAACCTCAGGTCACAAGGTAGACGAAGTTCACGTCCCATAACAATGCTAGCGGGTGTCTGGCCGGTTGTATCGTGGATAGAAGAACGGTACGCCAATAGGAACAGATGAAGGAAGCGGTCCCAGTCTCTTTAGTGATCTGAGACTACCTTGGACAAGTACCGGTTTATCGTTCGATTCATTCGTTCTACCATTCCATCAGACTGCGGATGTAATGCAGTCGTCCTCGTCTTCCGAATGTTAAGAATCTTACAGACATTCTGGAACAGTATGGATTCAAAGTTCCTGCCTTGGTCTGAATGCATCTCCATTGGCACACCAAAACGACAAATCCACTCCTTAATAAGGGCATCGGCCTGCCACAGTGGCCTCCTGGTTTGGCAAGGCGTACGCTTCCGCCCACTTGCTAAAGTAGTCCATTACAACGATGATGTATTTATTTCCAGATTCTGTTTCCGGAAATGGACCCGCCACGTCGATTGCAATTCTCTCAAATGGGCTGCCCACATTGTACTGTCACATTGGGGCTTTTGGGCGCTTCTGGGGTCCATTGCTTGCTGCGCAAACGGCGCACTTCTTGCACCATTCCTTCACATCTCGTTGGCTGTTGACCTAATAAAACCGTTCCCTAAGTCTTTCGAGCGTCCTGGTCACCCCAAGATGTCCTCCAGTAGTTCCATCATGGATTTCCTGCAGCACTTCTGGTATCCTGTTTCTGGGGATTATTATCTGCTTCCGGTCTTCCCCCCTTCTGGCATCTCCAGAACGCGCTTTAGAAGCCCGTCACTTAAGATGATGGAATTCCATTGGGCCCAGTAGGATTTCACATTCGGCGAATATTGGGCGACTTCCTGCCACATTGGTTTACGGTCGTTATTCTTCCAATCGATGATAAGCCTGATACGTACCGACGGTAGTAGGTGCATAATCCAAGAAAGCTTCTTAAGTCATGTTTATTCTTCGGTATTGGCCATTCCCGCACCGTCTTTACCGTTTGTTTGTCCACTGCAACTCCTTGACTTCAAACGACATGGCCCAGATACTGCACTTCCCTCTGGAACAAGTTACATTTCTTTGGGCTAAACTGCCACAATCCATCACCCACGGTAAACGCCGTCTTTTCTCTATCTTCTGGTGCCATTTCAACCTGCCAGTAACCGCTTTTCAAATCCAAAGTCGAAAATATTTGGGATCCAGCCAATGTATCCAGGGTGTCATCTATCCTAGGCAGAGGGTAGCTGTCCTTCTTCGTCACGTTGTTCAGCTGACGTAAATCGACGCAAAATCGAGTTGATCCATCCTTTTTCTTAACTACCACCACTGGGGAAGACCATGGGCTGTTGGATGGTTCGATCACCCCTTCCTTCTCCATTTCATGCACAATTTTATCAGCTTCCTCTCGCTTGACAAGTGGCAGCCTTCTTGCCGACTGTCGAATAGGCTGTGCATCACTGGTGTTAATTTTATGCTGGACAATTCTTGTCCTACCCTTCTTTTCTTGTCCGTCGTCAAAGACATCCTGATAATTGTTAATCAGCTCTTTTAGCTTTATCCTTTCATTGGGTTTCAAATTCTTTGAAGAAGTCGACAGAAGATTCGTCAATTCATTGCTAACTTTCTTGGCCGGGACTGCAGATTCACGAATGCCTCTAATAATCAAGGAAACCGAAGAACAGTTCCCCAAAACGATTCCTTTCTTCAAGTTTACAGAGTAACCATTAACATTCAATACTCTAACAGGCACTTCTTTTCCGACACGTATTAAAGTCTTCCCTACTACAATTCCTCGACCGACCTCTTTGTCATCAATTCTCGGCTCCAGAAGCATTATACTTCTATCTTCCGATTTACAATCCAAGAAATCCAAGAAAGCTTCCTTGCATAACGGTCGTTGGAGTAGCTGGATATGCTAGCCGGACCAAGCGTGCAATATCAGCCTCGAATTCTTGTAAAGTCTCGTTTGATTTCTGGCAGCGGTTCTTAAGTTGGGAATGGTAGACATGTTCCAAATGTGTCTGGGCATATCGCAGTTCCAGATGTTTCACCAGCGCTTCGTAATCTTCTTGTTCGTTGGGAGAAAGTGTCTGCAAGATGTCGGTTGCATCTCCGCGTAAAGCAAGAGTAGCCTTCCCTTCTGGTAGCCAGCCATTTGCTTTTGCTGCTGCCTCAAACTGACGGATGTAGTTGGTCCAAGAAGTTTTTCCATCGAACTGAGGTGGTTTCATCCGAACTCGGCTCCCCTCCTGCACTGTTCCTGGTTCCAGCCAGCATCATGGGTAGATTTACAGCTATCAGTTTACTATTTATTTATTTAATTTTGACTTCTCATTCAATTCCGTCCTTATGTCGTCAACTTTCTGCACAACTTTCTCTTCTAATTCCATCCTTACGTCGTCAACTTTTTGTCCCACTTTTTCTTCTAATTCATTGACATTATTTAGAATCTTCTGTTCCAAATATTCTTTGAAATTTTTAGAATTTTCCAGAATTTTCTGCTGTAATTCGTTAGAATTTTTCAGCATTTTCTGTTGTAAATCGACTTTTAAATCGCTAGAATTTTCTAACATTTTCTGTTGCAAATCATCCTTTAAATCGTTGACATTTTCCAGAATCTTTTGTTGTAAATCGACTTTCAAATCGCTAGAATTTTCCAGAATTTTCTGTTGCAACTCGTTAGAATTTTCTAGCATTTTCTGTTGTAAGTCGTTAGAATTTTCCAGAATGTTCTGTTTTAAATCACCTTTCAAATTTTGCAACAATAAATGCATATCACACGAACCTTCAAATAAATACGTATCTGGATTTTCACCTTCCTGTTCCAACGCTTCTCGAAGCCGCTGCTGCAACACATTCTTTTTTCCAGTTGGATCACATTCCCTTTCTTACAGCTCCCGCTTAAGGTCCGCCACTTTTAAGTCCATTAACGAAACCATTTTCGCGAAGTTTCACACTAATCCCACTTCTGACACCAATTGTAACGTTTTTAACTGTTCGTAGTGTGAATTAAAACACGCACTGGTTAATTAACGAACTAAACTATTTATTTAATAACTTAACTACACTTAAAACACTATACAACTA